TCTGGTCGTACCATGCACATACACGGAAATAACTGTTAATTATTATATGTGAACAATTAACTAATATAAGAGCATTTAAGATTATTACTCATTTTAACGAAAGTGAAATAAAGAAAAGCAGGTGTGAATTTGTATATTCTATTCCTAAATTGGTTATGTAATCAAGATGTTAAACGGAGCCCACAATGTAATTAAAAGTAATGTCATTTATATTTTTTAAAGCCTGGAACGTACCCAATCTCTAGAGCATGGTAGGTAGGTCTATGTATATGTGATAAATATCACAAATATTGCAAATGGATGAAGAATAAGACAGTATCATATATAATATAAAGATAATAATAAACGACAATATCCATCTGTTTCTACACTCAGCATGAACAATATTTAATAGAGGCACCTAAAATAGTCATTAATCAAAGTTAACATTATAGCCTTATTCCACTTTACCAATGTCCTACATGTTATAGCCTATGTTGTTGATCCTCAGATATTATTGTTTTTATCATATCATCATCATTATCATTATGCTATATATGCTTGTCACTGTCATCATCATCCTTATCCTCATCATCATCATTATTCATGTTCATATCGTCAATGTCATCGTATAGCCTTATTCCACTTCACATAATGTCCTACATGTTATAGCCTATGTTGTTGCTCCTCAGATATTATTGTTATTATCATATCATCATTATCCTTATGCTATATAATTATACTTGTTACTGTCATCATCATCATTATCATCATCATCAGCATTATCACTTCTACTACTGTTGTTTTAGTTGATGTTTCCCTGTAATTTTATAACTATAGAAGATCATTGAACTCATATGAAAATGAATGTTGAACTAGTAGGTCCCTGTAACATTTATGTTTACTTGTACCATATTCATTTCCAAACTGTTAACTGTGTTACTTCCTTGTTTTGGCGGATGTACCGGTACTAGTTGAAACACTGCGGCTAGTGTTTGTTTATTTTGTTATGATTTAAGATTACTAGGAAAAGGTAAGTCTAATAACATTATTATTTATATTTGTTAACTGGCTAAACAGACTTGATGAATGAGTGTGGTTCGCAGATAATACGGTTATCATAATGACGATGATTATGACAATGCGTAATAAATCCAATAAAAAATGTTTTCTTTTCACGGTCAGAAGTACCGGTAAGCGTTTTTAAAGAAATGCCAACAGACTATGGAGACGAACACCACACCGTCATACGATGAGGATATTTCGAGTAATGGTAAGGTTTACTTTATTGCTTTTATTTTAATCAGATTCCAAACTAATCGTCAATTATAGAGTCGAACTAATGAAACCCCGTATCATATTGATCTTTGTTTTTACATTGTATCAAGAACTATTTCCGCATGTGCGTAAGAGTGTAAAACAGTTGCTTCTAATCGGATTCAAATTACATGAGTTTACTTCAGAGACACTTGATTGTGTGAAATATATCTACAAGCACTAGAAAGTTACACTAGACTGTAAAATAATCTCCGCTAATGTTTAGGTCTGTTTCATTTAAAAGGTCCATTGCTTTTTGATATAAAGCGAGAATCTATTCACGTTCAACGAATTATGTTGTTTAAATATTTTCGTACATTTAGGAATCAGCATGTACTGAATATAATTTGTGACTATATAGTCTAATTCATAGACTTATCGTACATCTTTATCTTTCTATATGGTTCATTACCTTTGTCATAGGCAATGGATCACTTTTAAATAAGAAATCAAACACAGCACTTTATGTATCTGCATCAAAACAGAATGTTTATTTTACGAGTACTTTTAACCATACGTCAGAAATCATGCGACATAGGGTCAAAATTAGTTGTACAATAAATACTTTATTCTGGGGCAAATACTATTTATAAACTTATCTTGACTTCCTGTATATTTAAATGTATATATAATGAGCGTATGCACTCTATTTCAATGAGAACCATCACCTGGTAATCGTAACTTTTGCTTATATTTTAGTTTCAGTTATAGAATATGTATTGTTCGGTATACTTGTCATCTTGTGTTTCATCTTAGTCATCTTAATGGTGAAGGTACTCCAAAGATATAGAGAATACGGATACTGCATAAAAATAGAGAATGTTCGTAAGTACAACAGCAGTCCCTAAATTTGTTCCTATTTATTTTAACGTTTTAGTCTCTAAATTTTAAATACTAGTAAACTGAATGTACCGGTAATTAATTTTCCTTTATTAACTCCTAACACCAAATAAGCAGTGGAGGCCATGTTCAAACCTAGATGAACCACGGAAAACTTCCTTAAAGAGTAATTTTGAATAGCAAGTCTGATTTTGTTGAGTTTTAGAGGGCCTTATAGTAAGTTACTGTTGCAAATGTCTTATTAGGGGGTTTTTTTATGTTTTGCAGCGACAATCCGAAGACTGGATTCAGAATATAATCGCCAAACTGCTCTAGCTCGAATTGAACTACCTCCAGATTACCAAGCTGCTACTCTGCCACCGCCAGGTGGCGGCAATCATGATCGCGAGGAAAATCAGACAGATCAGACAGTGGTGAATGAGAATGAACGGCCGCCCTCATATGGTACTGTGATGAAAAATAGATTTAGTAAACATTTGTCGAGGTTTCTTACTTCCATGAGGAAAAAGAATCAAAATAATTCAACCGAATCACAAGAGGGTCAGCCGCAGCCAGCTTTAGTACCAAGTGCAATGGGTGAAGAACACGTTTGACCATGGGTTAATTTTATTTTATTTTTGTTTTGAACTCTGTTTATAGTCGGTGGCTCTTACAGTCTGGCCCGGATACATAGTGGTCAACTTTTCTCTGTATGTATTTTGTTGTATAATATATGTAGTGTAAATATGTTAAATGTAAATGTACGCTTCATGCACATTAATAATAGGCCTAGATCATTAAACATTATTTTTTTTTAAATCTAACTGATTAGCCTACATAACACCTAATAGTTTACGATTACTGGCGGTCCTATTATAGGTTCACTA